AACATTTTTTTGATCATCAATTACTCAAAATCAATTTATAGTCTCGGAACCCACTTTTAATAGATCAGCTCCCATATCATTTAATTATACTAAAATGTTATTTGACTTCAAAAAAACTTAAAACTTTTTATTTAAAAAAATAATTATCATTTAAAAATAATAGCACTGTATTACTCTTGTATTACACTTCATTACTTATACTTTATTTTTTTTTATTTTATACTATCATAAAAACAAAAGCTTTGATAAAAAAAAAGAAAAAAAATAATAATTATATTTATTACCTTTTAATTTTTAATCATTTTATTTTGATTTGTGATATTTTTAATAAAATTCTTATAACTCCTTTTGAATATTTAATTGATATTTCTTCGTCAGGATCAATACTATTTTAAAAAAATTGTTAATTTTAAATTGTTATTAAAATTACAATTTTGCTAATCTAATAAACTTACTTATTAGATAATTCTAATGTTAGTTCAGTCTCATCCTCTGAAAAAATAATTTCTCTCTTCAAGCAAGGTCCTTGATCTTTAAACTTTACATGTTTATATTTTATGTAAATTAATTTTGTATTATAAATATTGATATCTACAATAATACCTTTAACAGAAGGAACTAAAAGATCTATAATTAAAGTTTGACTTTATTCAAAAAAAAAAAAAATATTAATAAAAATAATATAATATTAATGTAAATTAATCTAATATTTATACCTATTTTCATTTATAAAAATATCATATTGTGGTCAAGATGTTGGTTGAGATTGTGATGGTGATTATTGTAATTATAATGGTAACTGTGATTGAGGTGATTGAGATTGTGATGGTAATTGTTATGATTGTGATCATGATGATGACTGTGGTTAAGGTAGTTGAGATCATAATTGTTGTGATTGTGATTGTGATTGTGATAGTAATTGTAGTTGGAATGATTGTTGATTCCTTTAAAATTCTTCTTAATTTTTTTAAAAATAATATAATAAAAAATTTTTAATAAACAATTATTTCATTGATTTAAATTTTATTAATGTAGTAATAAGCTAATAATTTACGGATTGCTTATCATTGTAATTCTTTAGTCAGATTTCACTAAATCTAAATATTTACCTTCAGGTCTAATAAAATCTTTGTCTTTCATATTCTTATAAAATTGATCCTTATCTGTATTGTTATAGAAATGTACAAATCTATAACTAAAAATGAACACCATAATTAAGAAGTTGCAACTCAGTAAATTGCAATTTGAGTTACAACTTGGTTGCAACTCCTTGTAAATTTATTTTAATATAAAAATTCATAAATTGTTGCAACTCAAAGAATTGCAACTTAAGTTGCAACTAGTTAAAAATTTTAAAAATAATTATGAGAACCATTTTTATCTATGACTAAGGTTACTTGTCTAAACCAGAGACGATGATTTTCTGCGGTTATAAAACACTAATTCCGTTTTTATTAAAAATAAATTCTGCAATCATTCTGCGCATTAAAATATACAATAATCTGCATGATTTTTATTATAAAA